ACATCAGCCTCGGAGCCCTTAAGAACTGTCTTAGTAATCAGCCTAGGAACCCTTAAGAACAGTCTTAGTCTTACATGCTAACATCAGCCTAGGAAATGTTAAGAACAGTCTTAGTCTTACATACTAGAATCAGCCTAGGGACCCTTAAGAACTGTCTTAGTCTTACATACTAACATCAGCCTCGGAACCGTTAAGAACAGTCTTAGTAATCAGCCTAGGAACCCTGAAGAACAGTCTTCGTCTTACATACTAACATCAGCCTCGGAGCCCTTAAGAACAGTCTTAGTAATCAGCCTAGGAACCCTTAAGAACAGTCTTAGTCTTACATACTAACATCAGCAGTCTTACATATACGAAAATCAGCCTAGGAACCCTTAAGAACTGTCTTAGTCTTACATACTAGAATCAGCCTAGGAACCCTTAAGAACTGTCTTAGTCTTACTATACATACTAGAATCAGCCTAGGAACCCTTAAGAACAGTCTTAGTCTTACATACTAACATCAGCCTAGGGACCCTTAAGAACAGCTTTGCTAACTTCAAGATTCCAGAGCATACGACCTCTCAGGGATGGTTTTGGAATGGGAGACAAACCTCCGCTAACGACTTCAGCAGCCCAAACACCAACAAAGAAGACGAACCTGCGCCCAAAAGACCTCAAGCCAATTTTGGGGTTTAAGGCTTAGGATTTAGCGTTTAGGGTTTAGGGTTTGTTCTCGATCCTACCTAGCCCCAATCTAGGCCATGGACTCCAGGGAATTTCGGATCTCTTCACCGCAAATCAAAGACTGTTGACTAGGGCTGGGTGAGTTTTTATGCTAAACCTTGATAGAGCACAGGGAATCAAATGGACAAGAGCTGGCTCAAACCGTACAAGGCCATAAAGGTCTGCAGTGTGGAGTGTCAAAAGCGATCCGGCCGTTCTCATCCAACAGCGCCAAAGAAGCTTTCTCTGTGCTGTGGTTGTTCATGAAAGTCCATTCTTTTGTCACGCATTCCGGAACACTATCACTAGCTGTGCTCCAACTGATCACCCTTTTGACGAAGTTCATACAGGCCTTTCTCCTTGTCGTCGCTGCCATAGTTGGCCAAAGGCTTCCCCAGCAGTCCATACCGCTCGGTGGCCCATTTCCAAACAAGGTCATAAAGGCAACCCTCAACCTTCTTGGATTCCCTTTTACCTTTTGCTTTCTCTACAGTGTTCGAGCTGGAGGGCAACAGCCAAACAAGGTCATAAAGGCAACCCTCAACCTTCTTGGATTCCCTTTTACCTTTTGCTTTCCCTAAACTGTTCGAGCTGGAGGGCAACAGCCAAACAAGGTCATCAAGGCAACCCTCAACCTTCTTGGATTCCCTTTTACCTTTTGCTTTCCCTAAAGTGTTCGAGCTGGAGGGCAACAGGCCAGGGGACTTAGTAAGTAGCCGCCTAAGTAGCCCTCATTGGGGCTGTCCTACCGACAAGCCTACTTACTAAGTGCCCTGATCCTCGAAGTATGGCCCAAAACCCTCCAACCCTAAAGCCCCAACTCCTACGAATGCTGCAATCTGTAATTTCATAGCCAAAGGCGCCATCAGTCCTAATTCCCCTGCCCTGCATCAAACGGGACAGTACACTCAACTACAAACATCCTGCAACCAACCGTTTACAAGCCTCTTAAACCCTAACCTTAAACCTCTAAACCCTAAACCCTAAAGCCCCTCAAGATAAACGCGCCTTTCACCCTAACATCCTCAACACACCGCAAAACCCGAAACCCCTGCGAACCCAAACCCCTGAAGGCCAAGGCTGTGAAGAACCCTAAAAACATAAAAACCCTATAATGTAGGAATGGGGGTTTGGGGTATATTAGACTAAAATTAT